ATGTTCCATGACCCGATTCTCAACCTATAGGCTCCCTTTCCCCCTCTACCTCCCCTGCTACCCAACCCACTCCCTGACCCCAGCCCCACATTTTNAGTCTTCGCCACCGAACTTTGGTAAGTAACCAAATGTTCATCCCGCTTCGTAAAACTCGAGTTCTCAATGACTAGATCGAAAGCCTTGGCCAAGTCCAACAGCGAAATGCCCCCTCCGTTCCGCTCCCCGAAACCAAAGCCGCCATGCACATCAGTGTACCCACCTGCAGATGACCCAATATGACCAATGAAATCTCCTCCTATGAATAACCTCTCAGAAGGCGGTATACTACGAACAATCTCATCCAACCTCTCCCAAAAGAGCCTCTTAATATCCTCATCCAAGCCTGCTTGCGGTGCGTAAGCGCTAAAGACATTTAAAGTACCCTCACCCACCAACAACTTAATAGTCATTAGTCTATCATTCACCCGCCTGACCTCTACCATGGACTCTCTAAGATGGCTATTTACCAGGATACCCACTCCATTCTTACCCCTCAGGACACCAGAGTACCACAACTTATACCCATCCACGTTTTTCGCCCTCGATCCGACCCACCTAGTCTCCTGGACACACGCTATATTAATCTTCCTCTTCTGCAGGATTTTCGCCAACTCTATGGATTTACTCGTTAGTGAACCTATGTTCCATGACCCGATTCTCAACCTATAGGCTCCCTTGCCCCCTCTACCTCCCCTGCTACCCGACCCACCCCCTGACCCTAGCCCCACACTCTGTCCCACCCGAGGACATGCCCTTATTCTATCATCCCAGACTGCAGCCACTACACCTACAACAATCTAGAGAAGACTCGCTAGTGCACAACGTACACAAATCAAACTAGAAGGAAACACGTGGTAACTAGTATCCTAGTTGAAAGGTTTAACTATTGCGAAGTAAAGTAACAGTAATTTAGCTAACACCAAAAGGGAAACATTAAAACAGGAGGTACCAACTCCCGATAACCAAACTTGTGGCTGATTTGCTGTACTCGATGTAGTTCTACGCTCACGCACCACTTCCTACCGCCCTTTGCTGACACTCGCCCAGGTTGCTTTCCTTTGCTAGTGCTCGTGCGCCGAACTTGTCTCCAATTCTCCGAGAATTCCTGAAAATACAGAAAATACCATGACCCAAAAACCAGAAGGAGCTATCACCGTTACCACTGCTTTGGTGCAGTGAACTGGGGCACTTGTCAAAGGCTATTCCCACGAACTCGTTAACTCAGATCTAATTTAGAAAATATTTTAAAGTTTCTGCTATAGCTATGCCGAACAAAAATCAGCTATATTTTCTCCAACAGTGGAGGGAGAATAAAAATCAGATCTGAGTTATTCTCCAACAAAATCAGATATATTTGACCTCAAAAAGATTGAAAATCAAGAAAGAAGGAAAGATCTGGCTCTGGGTTCTCTTCCTTCTGATTCAGGCTATTGACAAAGAAAGTTGAAGAAGGAACACAGTTAAAACTTTAAGCATTAGAGTTCAGATATTCCTTTGCCTTATTCTGTCCTTTGAACATCAGACTCGAGAGAACCAAAAGCGAAAAGGAAGGGGCAAAGAAAAAAGAAAATATATTTCCACTAATTCCTTAGCTCGTGTTCAGGCAACTGTGATGTTTTCTTCTCAACAGTTAAATCCTCTCAAAAAATTCTTCAGGTCGAGCACGCATACACAGATCCGGATCCGAAACACTGACGAGGCAAAAACAAAACTTCTCGCAGGAATTGAAGATGACGAAAATTCCTCTGTTGCGTTGCTCTTGCAATGGTATTATTCCTAGCTTTATCTCTTGCTTTGCTAATTCTCATTCTGCTTCGGCAATTGCAATTAGATATTATTCTGATAATGTCAAGTGTTTAGATGATGCTCTGTGTCGCTTTCGTCGAATGTTCAGTACGCAACCTCTTCCTTCTGTTTTCGACTTCTCCAAATTATTAAAGACTATGGTAAATATGAAGCATTACTCTTCTGTTGTTTCCCTTTTTCAACAAATGCTGAAATCGGGTATCCCAATTGATGGTTTCATCTTGAGTATCGCGATCAACAATTATTGCCTAATGCATCGTTTTGACTGCGGATTTTCAGTGTTAGCCATTTACTTGAAGAAGGGCATTCCATTTAATGTTGTCACCTTTAGCACCTTAGTAAGGGGACTCTTTGCGGACAATAAGATCAAAGATGCAGTTAACTTGTTCAAAAAGTTGGTGCGAGAGGATATTTGTGAGCCTAATGAAGTCATGTATTCAATTGTCATGAATGGGCTTAGCAAAATGGGCCATACTAAAAAAACTTTAGATTTGCTTAGGGTAATGGAACAAGGAAGCACTAAGCACAATGCATACATCTATAACATTGTTATAGATGCTCTTTGCAAGGATAGAATGATTGATGATGCAATTAGCCTTTTTGAAGAGATGAAACAAAAAGGCATTCCTCCAGACGTTGTCACATATAGTTCATTGATTGATGGTCTTTGTAAGTTTGGTCAGTGGGAGGAGGTTAGGACTTTGTTCTTCGAAATGGTAAATCTTAATATTTATCCAGACGTCCGCACCTTCAACATATTGATAGATGGACTATGCAAAAAAGGAAAGTTGAAGATGCTGAGGAGGTAATGAGACACATGGATGGAAAAGATGTAGAGCCAGATGTGGTCACCTACAGTGTGATAATTGATGGATATTGCTTGCGCGGTCAAATGGATAGAGCAAGGAGCCTTTTTGATTCCATGATTGATAAGAGCATTAAGCCTAACATTTTTAGCTATAGCATATTAATAAATGGATACTGTAAGAAAAAGAAATTGGATGAGTCCATGCATTTGTTTTATGAAATTTCTCGAAATGGATTGAACCCTAGAAATGTTAAATATAGTACTATCTTGAAAGGTCTATTTGATGCTGGAAGAACCGACTTTGCCGAAAAATTCTTTGCTGAAATGCTATCTACGGGGCTCAAACCTGATTTATGCACTAATTGCATTTTGCTCGGCGGTTATTTTCACAATGGGCTTGTTAAAAAAGCAATGTTGCTATTTTATGAGTTGGAAATAAAGAGAGAAGACACATATATTCAACTTTATAATGTTGTGCAAGGATTTCTGAAGTTTAGCAAAATTAGTGAAATGATAACTTTTTTGAAGGAAATGACTGGAAATGACTTCTCATTTGATGCAAGTACTGTAGAGTTACTAATAGACGTTATAGCGAAGGATCCTTCTTTGCTTAACATGATACCACAGTTTCCGTTGGGAAATAAGAAGTGATATTTATTTCACTTGATTTAAGCAGCTTTACCTATCACTATGATGCAATTTCCTTTTACCTATGGAAAAGAACTCACATCAGCAGAATTGCGGAAGCTGAAAGAATATGGTAATTAGAACATTGCTTGAGCTTTCCAAGCAAGGTTATTGAGGAGGTACATCTGTTGGACTTTAAGACATTAGGCTTTAAAAGAGAAGATGTGTGAATTGGAAATGGAGGGAAATAAAATGGAGGGAAAATGAAAATTTGAAGAAGTGAACTTTTGTCTTGCACTTTGTCCCTCATTGGTGAGGGACAATCACATTTATGTGCTTATATATAGATTCACTTCTTAAAGCTCTTAAAAGGAGTTAAAGAGAATGAACCCTCGCACCGTCGTCGTCACTCGCTCGGCTCGGCTTCGGCTTTGGATTTGGATTTGGATTTGGATTTGGATTTGGATTTGGATTTGGATTTGTCAAATGATCGATCGATAAGATTATTTTTGGACAAAATTTATTTAATTATTTAATAATTAATTAAATGCCAAATCACTGCTGAACGTTCAGAGGGCCTCGCTGGCCGCGGTTCTGCCGCGACCGCGGTAGAATCGTGGCAGTCAGATTCAGAGAGGCTCTCTGGCCGCGTATTTTCTGAAAAGGCACCTTTCCAGACACATCTTCTGATATTTGCCTATAAATTATGAGTCAAGGCTGCATCTTCCAAATACGAAATACGAAAAACACTCTAGAAGTTCTTTCTTTCTGAATATACTGCATCCTAATTCGCAGTCTCTCTCTCTCAAATTCGTAAGTGTGATTTTGCTCCGTTCTTTGAGTTCGTTGGTATCCTGCAGTTTGTATTGCCACTGTTGCAGGAAGGTTTATTCCGTTTTATCCTGGGAGGATTTAATCCATTACCTTGGCAACGTGTGAGGGGGTTAAAATTCCTTAAGGACGCACAAGAAAATTGTGGACTCGGAATATTTCTGATTTTTTACTATTTTATATATTTCTTTATTCTTCTAACATTTTTCTGATTTTTGTTTCAACTCAATAACGATCAAAAGCTTAAGGAATTTTAATTTACTAACGTTTCTGTGTTGATTATTAAACTGTTTTCTTTATACTTTGTTGGATACTAAAGCCTTGTTGCTTTCTATTCCTATAATTGTTTCTGTCCGGTTTAAAGTACATAAAAAGTTTGCCGGAATAATAAACGTATGGGTTTGAAGTATATAAAAACTTCACCATTGTTACGTGTTGTATGGTTGGTTTGGTATTCAGTTTGAAGATATCAAAAACTTCACTGATTAACAAGTTTTGTATTATTTTCAACTTTACAGAAATATGACGAATGAAAACCAAACTAATGGAAGTGTTGCGGGAACGGGTGCTACTGTTACGAGTGTTGCTGCCTCGTCAAGCCGTTCTACTCCTGCTCATGCTATGGCACCGGCAGAAAAACCCGGAAAGTTTTCCGGTATTGACTTCAAACGCTGGCAAATGAAGATGCTCTTCTATCTTACTACGTTGAGTTTGCAACGTTTCATCAAGGAGGATCCTCCGGTCATGGCTGAAAATACTCCGGATGATGAACGACTTGTTGTAACTGAAGCATGGAAACATTCTGATTTCTTGTGCAAAAACTACATATTGAGTTGTTTGGAAGATGGCTTGTACAATGTCTATAGTGTCATGGAAACTTCAAAAGCGTTATGGAATGCACTTGAGAAGAAGTACAAGACTGAGGATGCCGGACTTAAGAAGTTCGTGGCTGCAAGGTTTTTGGATTTCAAGATGATTGACACTAGGTCCGTCATAACTCAAGTCCAAGAATTACAAGTCATTGTGCATGACCTCCTTGCTGAAGGTATGACCCGAATCAATAATTTTATTAATAAGATTTATCTTATTATTAATTATGAATTTGTTATTGAAGGTATGGTCATAAATGAGGCCTTTCAAGTCGCTGCTTTCATTGAAAAGTTACCTCCGTTGTGGAAGGATTTTAAGAACTATCTTAAACACAAGCGGAAGGAGATGACACTAGAAGACTTGATTGTTCGTCTGAGGATAAAATAAGACAACAAAAATTCTGAAAAGAAGTCACGTGGAAACTCGACAATAATGGGGGCAAACGTTG